TTTAGTTATAAGATGACTACATTCTGGAAACCTAGTGCACAGCAAGATGACTATAATTAATAATAATGTATTACTGTTATACATACATTATTATTTATACATGTATATATTATTATGTATACACATATTATATATGTATTATATAGAACACATTATTATTAAATACCTGAAATCTGCTAAAAAATAGTAAGTGAAAGGCATGATGAACAAAAAGCCAGAATTGTATTCCGTTGTAATAAAAGAACATTTTATTTGTGGATCAATTCGATGACACACGTTTGGAGGGTTTTGAGAGAAAAGACCCACATGCAAAACCCTTGTCAAACATTACAGAGCATGCAGTTATGATTTATAATGTGTCTGTCAACACCTGTAAAATGTAGCAGGGGCTACAAGACATAAAAGACTCTAAGTTGATGTCCGACATGGTCAGAATGTGGGAACATTCTTGGTGAACATTTGAAGTGTATCTTAGTCTAAATTATCAGCCTGGAAAGTATTTGGGGTTCTTAGAAACCAAATAGAACCATTTACCTCATACTTATGAATTATTTATGCTAAAAAGTGCAGGCTTGTACACTCTAATCATAAACATTAGATTTTCAGCCATACCTTACTCCCACAGTTATTGTAATTTTAGATACTCCAAAAGGGATGAAAATCCATGAAAGACTGAGTTTGCCTGTCACTCATGTACCCAAATAGATACTCAGACACATAGATGCTGGAATGACAAGGTTGCCCAGTTCATGCAGACTGCAGCCCTATTTCTCCCTTCCTCAGAGGCAGGCACAGGGATCCATTATGTTCTTAAATGGTGGAACTGAAGGGAAGAATCAAAACCTCCCCTCCCAGTTTTAGGACAAACTGACTCTTTGAACTGAAGGAAGGAGCAAGGGCAGCCTCCTTCTTTGGCCTGTATCTGTGGTGCATTCACCTCTGAGCCACTCCCACCCCCATCCCACTGTGGGTTCAGCCCAACACCCATCTGAACAGAGTGGGTGTTCAGGCACCGCCTGTTAGGTGCAAAAGGAAGGAATTAATAATGACAGCTAGCATATGTAGTACTTACTCTGTGCCAAGCATTTTACAATAATCCTAAAAAGTAGGTGCTATCATTATGAGGTTTATTCTGCAGATGAGGGAAGTGAAGCAGAGAGAGGTTAAGAAACTTGTCCACAGTAACACAGCCCATAAGTGGCAAAGCCAGGATTTGAACTGCATGATCTGATTCAATTAGCCATGTTTTTTTTAAAGATTTTATTTATTTATTTATTTATTTATTTATTTATTTATTTATTTATGAGAGACACACAGAGAGAGGCAGAGACACAGGCAGAGGGAGAAGCAGGCTCCCTGCAAGGAGCCCCATGCGGACTCGATCCCAGGACCCCGGGATCATGACCTGAGCCAAAGGCAGACACTTAACCACTGAGTCACCTAGGTGCCCCCAATTAGCCATGCCTTTAAGCACATCACTACTCCCAATCTCTGCATATTATGATTTGGTAAAAGAGATTGCGCAGATGGAGCTCTTGAGTGGCCACAGTGCCTCACAGTGAGTGGCCAGTGCTCAAGGAACATTTTAGGGGTTAAAGGAAGTGGTTGGGTCATTTGTCAGCATGAAAAGCTGAAGAAGACACTAATGTGGGTTCAGGAATTAGCCTAAAACTCTAACTTCAAAACTTGGGCTGAAAAGCCAGCTCCTGGCTGACTTTCTAGATGATAACGAAGACAAGTGGCAAATGGGCATGAAGGAGACATGCTGCAAGTTAATTGCCCTTAGGAGTCTCATGAGGTAAGCAGTTAATTTGGGAACAAAGAGTTATTTTCAGTAGGTATTTACTGTGGGTCCCAAGGTACATAAGGCCACTGGGATTTGGGAGGTGCATGTACCATGGCTCCCATCTTTGAGAAGCTCCTCGTGAAATGGCAAGATGCAGGTCCATCTTCTGTGCAGATGCCAACTTAGAGTGCCTCATTAGTTGGCCATGGGCTGTCAGTCCCAGTTGGTGGAGGGTCGCTGGGTGTCCCCTGTTGTGTGTCAGGCCAGCTATGACGTAGGGGTGCATTCTGGTGAGATGGCTTCTCGTTGGAAGAGCCAAGTCACTTTCTGGCTGAGGGAGCAGCGCCTGGCTTTGTGTTTCCCTGGCACATCGTGAGTGCCGCAGTGAAGGGCACCAGAGGCCAGCTGGGCAGCAGGAGCAGCCCTTCCTGATGGGGAGCTGCCACCTCCAGTGCTGAGTGCTCCTGCTGTGCTAGGAGCAAGTTCCAAGTAATTAAGTGGATTGGGTTCTAATGCCCTTGTGACCATCAGCGTGGACATCCTTCTCTGCGAGCTCCTGGCAGATCCTATTGCTGTCTTGGCAGCCGGACTAGCACTGGAGGGTGCCCCTGCCCTGGTGTCCACTCTGCCTGGAGGGGACTGATGAGGGAGGGGACCCAACACATTCAGAAGTTCTTGTATATGGGGAGCTGATTACTCTCCTTCAAAATCGGTGTTTGCTACTAATCACAGCTTTTATGGTTAGGCCCTTCATGGCAACTAAAAGCCTATCTGGAAATAAAATTGTCACTTTTCTTTTGCATTTCTGCTGTAACGACACAGGAAACTTGTTTTTCCTTTTAAACTTAACATAATATCTGGAGATGACTAAGAGTATAGACTTGTGTGTGCAGCATGTGTGGGTAAGCAGGTACTCTAGTGTGTGTGAACATGAGTTGTGTGTGTATGTGTGTGAGGATGCCTATGGGTGCCCATGTTGACAGGGACAGTGTGTGCAGCTGTGTGGCTGTGGGATGAGTTCTCCTTGTGCGAATGTTTGAGGATAGGGGCCAAATGTGGGTCTGAGATCACACATAGGCTGTGAGTGAAGACCAGTCTGTGAGCGTGTGTATAACAGTATGTTTGTGCATCTGTGTGTGTGTGTGTGCGTGTGAGTGTGTGTGTATAGATGTATGCCTGGAGACAAGTGGTGTTGTGAGGACTATGTCTGAAGAAAGTGGTGTTGCATGGATGTATCTCATCTATTTTGTTCAGTGAGACAAGGCTTCTGGCTTTGGGGAGTTTTCTCTTCATAGGGTGATTTGTGGCCCCAACCTTTGGGAATTTCCAGCCCAATCACATGAAATAGAGCTCCAGTTTGAGGGGAGGGTCCAAGTCACATGCCACAACCCTCAGAGAACCAAAGATCTTATAGTCAGGATCATCCTGAGACTATCTGGCCCAGCCCTGACCTAGATTATAGGGGTTTCTGGTCAAGGTGGAAGTTACAAGCACACAATCAATTTATATGTCTGTCATTCATCATTCTAGGAACTGACATACCTTATGCATAGGGTGGAGCCTGTCTCATTTGAGCTGGGATGGGGCTGACATTCAGTGCCTACCATGCAATAGATTTACAACCATAGTTTACAACAGTGATAACATTTGTACACACCTCTTCAAGGCTTTGTGTTTCCTAAAGGCATTTTCTGAGCCTTATCTCTTATGGGCTGGCTTCTGCAGGGGAATTCCCAGACACCTCTCATCAGAATCAGAAGACTGGTTGTAGAGCAACGAGCTTTTCCCCCGGAGACCATGTGCAGGGGCCAAGAGTGAGGAATGGAGCCTCATCTGTCTGCTGTCAGGAGAGGTCACCATCTGCTACAATGTGTGGACATTCCAATAGACCAGCTCTCTCAGCAAGGACTCGATGCAGGGGGACCAGGGCTTGTTTGGTTCATCACTAAGATTCTTCCAGTTGAACTATCTGTACTTCCCATCTCTCTCTCTCTCTCTCTCTCTCCCTCTCTCTCTCTCTCTCTTTTAAGATTTTATTTATTTATTCATAGACACAGAGAGAGAGAGGCAGAGACAGAGGCAGAGGGAGAAGCAGGCTCCATGCAGGGAGCCTGACATGGGACATGATCCCGGGTCTCCAGGATCACACCCCAGGCTGCAGGCGGCGCCAAACTCCTGCGCCACTGGGGCTGCCCCTGTACTTCCCATCTCTTGAGATTCTTTGCTTTATTTTCCTTTTAACTTCAATATGGAACCAAAGAGAACCAACATTGATTAAATGTCAGTTCAATATGTGTTTATTGCACACCAATTATTTTAAGGTTGTCTTTGCATGGGAGCATGGGACACAATGTGCATCTGAATTGCTCCTGGCCTAGAGCTGTTCTCGATGCAATGGTGCCAGGAAAGAGGGGCAGAGGTTGTGGACAACAGCAAAAGCAGGCACAAATAAGGGCTGCGGCCCTAACCTGAGCCCAGTTGTAAAGGACAAGTAGGGGTTAACCAGGTGTTGGGAGAAAGAAGAGAGATGATGACGTTAAGGGAACCCAGAGGCTCCGTACATGTGGGAAGCAAGTCTGATGGAGTCTGGTAAAGGGATACTAATCTTGACTGCTCTTTGTTTTGCCCAAGGAAGATAGGATGACGCTGCGCTGGGTTGTGCACAGCGTCACCAGGCTTCGGGGGCTTGGCAAGAGTCCTCTCCCTAAGACGACTATTACTAACTCTGGCCCCACTTTGTTTCTGTGGCTCTGATGTCAACAGCAAGGCAACAAATTATGCTGGCAAGGGGCTGGGCTTTCTTGCAAGTTGCAATCATGTTGGCTGCTCTAGAGCTCTCTCCACACAGCTCAGGCTACCGCAAAGCCCACGGGAGGGTGAACGGAAAAGTACCTGTAAATATTAAGGTTGGTTCCAAAGACACATTATTGGTTTGCTGTGTAATACCCTCTGGTGCCACTGAGGCCTGATTAATAACTAAACATCTGTCACAACTGTAATTGTTTTCCTTGTGCCACGATTGTGCTTCTACCATTGTCCTGTTCAAACGCAGAAGGGAGGGTGTAAATTATTTAGGCAACTGACTCTGGGTAAATAACGAACCAGTGCTGTGCAGGCAGTAAGTTTCTGTCAACTCCTTGCAGAGTGTGTGTCTCCGCCGACGTTCCCTTGATGTGCTCACAAATCTCTCTGAGAACATCGCTCTGGACCTCCGATGCGGCTGCCGGAGCAACCTGGAGAGGGAAAGCCTGAGAATGAGGCAAGGGGGTGCAGAGGAGCCCCCGGAGGGGGAGAGGAGCCGCCGAGGAGCCAGGCCCCCGACTTCCCCACTTGGCAAGTCATCTCCCCCCAAACCCCCCGGAGAAAGCGCTTTCTCAAGTGTTTGCTCAGGACTTGATTGTTTTCAGCCCTCAGGTAGGGGGGGGGTGCGGGGGCTGGGAGCCTTTGCTGCCGAGTGTCAGAGTGTGGGGGGGAGAGGAGGCTCCAGGGACAGGCCACCTGGGAGGGGTCCTGTGAGGACGGGTGTGCCAGCCGGGTACAGAGACTTTACTGTCCCTCTTGAGCCTGACAGGTTTCCACTGACTGTATCTGAGGACGGGCGGATAGGGCAAGGGGATGGGTTTGAAAACTGACCTTATCAGGGACTGATTAGGGGTGCTTGTTAGGAAAAGCAGCCACAGATGTCACTTACAAGGTGGGTACCATGTGGCAGCACGGGAGCAGAAGCTTGGCAGAGATGATCTCAATGAGTCCTCACGGTAGTTCTGGAGGAGTATTATTAACCCGGTTTTTACAGGAGAAAAATAAGACAGATAGTCAACATCTTGCTCCAGGTGGCATAGACAAACCCGGGACTCCTATCCATGTCTCTGTGAATCCAAAACTTATATTTGTAACTACTGGCCTCCCTGGCTCTCCTCACTAACAGGTGAGGACATCAGTTCAAGGGGAGGAGGGGTTTTATGCGCTCCAAGCCACAGGCTTCCTGCTGTTCAATTCTGCTCTCTTTCTTTTCCTTGGAGACATTCCGGGATGTAAAAACTCAAGACGAATTTCATCTCTGGGTGGTTTTGCAAGGAGGGAAGAAATCTTGATCTATGTGATGCTGGTGTCGATGAGTTGGTCTGTGGTGAGTCATATAATCGGATATGTTCTGAAATGGTCTCCCTAAGGCTGTTTGGAATGGGCTCTCCAGCCCTCTCTGCCACCAGCTGCCAGGAGTGACCGAAAGTGTCTGTGGTGGGGGCCAGGAGTTTATGGTTGGGCCACAGGGGATAAAAAGGAAGTGGGAATATTTCTGGTGACTACAGCTGGTTTTCAGTAATTTCTCTTGGGGCCTGGGGGCTAGACTACAGGGCTTAGTGCAGAATGCTAGAAGATGCTATCCAGAACCTTCTCCAACACAGCTCATTGTTTGGGAAATCAAAGCTTGGAGCTGACAAGACCCCTGGCCAAGGGCATGATATGCCGAAGGGCAGGTTTAGAGTGAGGCTCTGCTCAGGAGGGTTGGCCATGGGTGGGATGACGACCCCATCCAGCCTCCCCATTCCAGCTCACCCTTCCGGGAGAGGAGCCCCAAGAGCAGGAATGGACCAGTCCAAGGGTGAATTTTCTGATTGGCCTTTGCTCAGACTGGTATAAGTGATAGAAGGTGCTTGCCCTGAGAAAGTGGGGGGTATGTTGGGGGAAAGAGGTCAGGACTGGGCAGAGAAACATTTCTGCATGTCCTGCGTGGAGTAAATGGCGAATGTGACTGATGCTACAGAGAGGGAAAGACAATTGTCTACCCTACTAGATATGAAGATGCCATATAGAAAACAACAAAGAAGTCTGATGGAGTCAGAAATACCCTTTTTGCTCAACATATTCCCACATTAAAATATATTTCCTCATATCTTCCTGTGGCTTTGGGATATAGAATTTTTTTGGCCAGAAGTGTGATGGGCACGCATTAGACATTTGAGTTTCACCTGTCTCAAGGGGCAGCAGTAGCCCACGTGGAATGAGCCTGCTTCTTCCATGCCAACAGCTTCTCCTTTGAGGTTGGCATTAATTCTTTTTGGACCCCAGGCTGAGTGGTTCTGTGGCACCAGGATTATTCCCAACACACATTCACACCCATGCCTACCACAAACATGCATTTGCTTACTCCTTGCTTGGGGATACACCCACATTTCTCAAAGATTTCCTTGTGCAGTGGGCAGAGCGAGACAGCTAAAAAGAAAGATGAGATGGGGCCATGGGAGTGGATTCCATTGTCAAGGCCTCAGCACAAGGGTCAGGCATGGAGGGGAAGGGAACACAGCCCACCAGGAACATGTTCCCACATCAGTCCCCAGCAGCAATGACTTGCAGAGTACATTGTCTTCCTGTCCTTTGTTCCTTAGCTAGGAACCTCTTTCAGAAAGAGTATTGGGACTATAGCCTATAGAGTATTAAGGGCCTCCCTCAGACCCTGAAGCATGCTGCACGTGGCCCACATGGTTAGGGTTGATACGGGCAGAGTAGGCAAAATCATAAAGTAGGGAGGCATCTCCTTGATGTGTCCCATCTACCTGTCCCAGGTCATTCTCACACTTCCTGGTACCATTTTGGTTGCAAGTAATAAGAAGCAGGCAGAGATATCCTAAACGAAAAGAGGAATGTGTTTGGAAGACTCAGGCAGGGGTTGGGGGTAGGAAGGTTGCCTCATAGAATCCAAGGCCTCAGAGGTGGCTGGAATGAGGGCCTAGGGAGATATAGAAAACCCAAGAAAGCTGCTTCTCTCTGCCTTTCTGCGGTTCTCCAGTTTCTCACGTGAAAATTATTCTTGTCAGATAGCTGCCAATTTGGTAGCCAGCCTTGATTGAGAGTCAGTATTGTCTCAATTCCAAATTCCATAGGAATAGGCTCATTGCTGTCCACTCCTGATCAAATCAACAGTGTCCAGGGGAGGAGAGTCAGAGGGTATGAACATGGCTGCTTCCACTATAAATACATGGATGGAGGAGCAAGACAATGACCAGAGAAGTAGGTACCTTGTTAACCTAGTTCCTTGAGGTATTGGTTTTTATACCCTATTCTTGAAGTTGGCTGGCTGTCCATTAAGTGCTACTAAGGTGCATGCTATTAATGCTCTAATCTGGAGCACTTAAAAGCAGGTGGTCTTCAGAGGAGAGAAGTATCACTGATGGAACAAAAGCAGTGAGGTAGATAAAGCTGGCTGGGGGCACTAAGTGCAGTGTGAAGAGAGACCCTATGCAGAAGGCAGGGACTGCAAAAGCAGGGTAACCCCTCTATGCCTCAGTCTTCCTCTTAAATCTCCTCCTGAGATTTACTAAAGAATTCCACAGATTATCTATTCCTGTCTTTGCCAAGATGTGCGTAGGCTTTCTCTTGATATACCTGAAGGAGATGACCTAGAGATAGGGACCTCCTTCACTGCCACTTCATTTCTTGGAGTCGTGCAAGTGTACACAGCACGAAGACCTGACTTGGTTCTAGCCAAGGTACTTACTCCTCAGCCTGGAAGTCTGAGGGGATGTTCTTCCCCCTTTGTCCAGACTATAGGATCTGGGTCTTTGGGCCAGGTCTAGAGCTGACTCATGGATCGTCAGGCAGTCCAGAAGGCCCACTGGAAGAGAATCCCTAGGAAGTAAAGAGATGCCCAGGTGGCTTCAACTAAGGGCAGCTAAGTAAACAGTCCTACCATTGTCATCCTGCCCCAACCCAGTCTGAAGGAAGATTTTCTAATATGGGGAGAAATGGACGTGCACTCTTGATATATAATCTAAAAATAGCCCATGTTCCAAACAAAGTGTTTTTAGTATTTTGAAATGAAAACGTGTAGACAAAGCAAAGATTCAGAATGCATGACTCATTAAATTGCTGACTCTGAAAGCAATGGAAATTCAAAGGGATTTTTTTTCTCCCTCCCACCCCTGCTTTGAATAGCTTATGATAAGAGTCTCTACATAAACAGGACCCATAAACTCCTCCATGACTTAAGGTCCTGCACAGTGAGAGGCAGAAGGAACTCAACTTCTATTGCCTGGTTATTAAGTTGGCCTCCCTAGCTGAGCTGGAATGAACCAGAGCCACCCTGTCCCCAAGCCTACCCATTCTCATTTACCTCTTCATCCTCTCTGCCCTGTTTCATAACAGGTATTCAGAGAATTCTTTGGCCCCTCTGTGGACACTGCTTTTCCCTCCCCCTGGGTTCCAGATTCTGCTAGACCTCAAGAGCACTCAACTCATCAGCCCTAACAAGGATGCTTCATCACTGAGCAGTAGCTCTAGGGGTGTCTTAGGGAAGAGTGCACATCGTATGATACCCTAGCAGGATGCAGCCGTGGGCAGCTCCATCAACTGACTGGATGGTTTTGGGCTCATTGTTGGGATGGGAGGGGTTTGGCCTCATCAGTGGGGTTCAGTTTTTTTTTTCTCACAAAGACCTTTCTAAAATAATTCTTATGGGGAATCTCAGTACTTAAAATGGAGAAGAGGACCCATTCTCATTGGAGCAAGTTGTGTATGTGTGCACAGTTGGGGGAATGGGGAGGTCCTCCACATCACAAACCCATAGAGCTCACCTCCAATCTCTCCTAATTGCCATCACCTTCTTTACTTCTGATTGTCATCATGCTTCTTGAATACCTCAGAAGATTGTTAGCAGCTTGTTGAGTCTTATATCTGTCCAGAGTGCTAGTGTCCTATGAGGAAACTAAGATGACCCTTGATTACCAGCCAACATTTTCACCTCATGTTGCCTCAACTTCAACTCCAGTGGCTTTCTCCCCTCTCAGCCTTCACTACCATGGCCTCAGCTATCATCTTATCACCTTCTAGAATACCTTACCTCTGAGAGCTCACACAGAGTACACTTCTCTTTGACAACCTATGTTACAGCTGTTTACTATTACTGTTCTTACTTCAGGATGTGGAGCACTCTGAGAGAAAATCCTACATGGATACTGGGCATGGAAAGGCAACCTTACACACAACCTTCAACCCCAGAGGGTCCTTGTGTGGCTCACGCGTTCTTCTAGTGGTCAGGTCCCCTCCCCATTCTCTACCATTCTCTACCATTCTCTACCAGGGTTTCAACTCCTATCCATTCTTCTACAAACAATGCCACTTCCTGCTTCACAAATAGTTTCCAGGACGAAGCTTCTTCAACCTCCTGCCTACTCTTTTGTCACCTTTTCTGTGTTCATGTTCATTTTTCTTCCCCCTGCCCATCATAGTGGAAGAGGGGTCCCTCTATCAGTCCAAGGACCACCTGCCACATATGGGTGGACATCTATTCCTTTCCACCCTCTCTCAGGGACCTTATTCCATCAATTTTACCTCCT